GAGGAATGTTGCTGCTATGACAACTTGTGTTGTCTTTTGCTGAACGTAGAGGGGGCAGAAAGACTACCCCTGCAACCTGATGCTGGCAAAGAGCACATTGGCTACCTCGGATGTTGTTAATGTGCCGTCATTAGACTGCAATAAATCAAAAACTCAAAAAAATTTTGGAATGACAGTGAAACTTTTATTCCACCGCATCACATGCCATTTGTTTCAGAATGGTTCTTTTGAGAAAAGGAATTGTTTTACATTTTTCTTTGCAAAAGATGACAAATATTTTGAATTTAAGTGCGTAAGTTTCCTACCTTGTTGAAACTTCTTAAGCTGACCGATAGCACAAAACTCAAAAAGATCACCGCCGGAGGACGATCAAGATCTTTAGACATATGCAAGTGCAACATCAACACCCAATTGACTTGTGCTTTTGCAAGTTGGTTGTGTGGGTCTATTGTCGTTTTTTGCATTATGTTATGCAAATATTTTTATGATGTGTATGAACAATGGCGGACATTCTTGAAATGTATCGATCAAGTTTTAGATAATCCAAAAGAACTTTTAGGAAGTCTTTATATTGGCCTTCTGGTTTAACTCATTGGTGGACTTTTAGCTTTAAATCTACAGAGGAAATTTTGGATAAATCCCCACTTATTGAATTTGTTGTATGGTCATTCTTCCTATCTAACCTCTCTCTATTTGAGTACTCTTTATGATGGCTGATCATCCTACCTGGCCATTATTTATTGGTCTTCTGGTTTAACTCAATGGAGGACTTTTAGCTCTAAATCTATAGAGGAAATTTTGGTTAGGTCCCCACTTATTGAATTTGTTGTTGATCATTCTGACTATCTAACCCTTTTATCTTTGAGTATCCTTTATGATGGCCGATCATCCTACCTGACCATTATTTATGGGTTTTGAAAAGCCCCACTGTCCATAATCTAGTGATTATGAGTATATTTTTAGAAGAGCGATTAGATATTAAATATGATACCACTTGGAGATTTTGCCTCTCAATGAAGATTTTATAATCTGATTCAAGGTTTTTCAGAAACACAAACACTTGGATAAATTACCCATGCTAATTACGAGAAAGGATTTTTTCTTTTAGGCTAAACCATTAAGCTTTATGATGCTGCAGCAGGCGCATCAAATTTGATTTGGTAAAGAAATATATGTCGCTCTTGGCTCAAAGCAGATGGTGGGAATTTTGATAACCTTAATCAAGATTCTATGGTTGTCATCTAAAGTTATCATTGGTTGTGATCTATTCATTCAATTGAGATAGCCAACCCAAAATGAATAAATAATCGTTTTCTTTGAAACCATGGGTTGTGTCATTCAAGGAGACATCATAGGCTTAAGGGAAGTGTTTGATGAAAGGGCAAGTTTTAATCCAAGCTAATGGAGGGGGATTTGTTCCCTATGGAATACATCTTGTAGTTCACAAACTTTTTTTTAGTTGTTCACAGCTTATAGGCTGCAAATTTTGGGTACATATGAGCATGGGTTATAATTGTAATCTAATGATGTCATTGCAATTAGGCAAACCTTCTTATCATGGGGCACTTATTACATCTTCTCCATCATGAAAATTTGTTTAGTCATATGGATGTATTTCATTTAATATTAGCCCTCTCACCAACCCAACAAACCAACCCACCCCACCCTTCCTTCTGTCTCTCTCTCTGATTTGTTCAAACTTAAATTTGGAGTATAGCCGTATGAATATGCTTCATATAGTATGGAAGCTCCAAATGCAAAGCAACAGATTTTGGGATGGATGCAGGAGTACTATCTCTGGATCCTATGCAGCTAAAAAATATGCATGGTAAATAGCAGCACAATCTTAGTCTGCTTGAGTTCGAGTACTAAGCATTATGCAATTTTTAAACTATAATATAGTGGCAGTATAAATTATAAAAATTTATTTAATTTATTTTAATATTTAGCAAAGTTGTTACCGTCATAGAATATGAGAGTAGAATTTCAGCAAAACAAGCAAGAGTTGCTGAGAAGAATTGTGGAGACCAAGAACAACAAAATGAATATTATTGATGTAAATAAAGCGCAAGAATCGACACAGCAATACAGCACCCAGATTGCCAACTTAGGATATACCTGCAAGGAAGATGAACGGTGCCAAATGAAAGAAACTCACAATTGTAAAAGTAAAATCTGCCCCTATATGCAAAACAACCTCTATTTATAAGCACTAACCCCCCTTATTACAAGTTTTCCATCTAAATAGAAAAACACATTAAAACAAAACTAAAATATAAAAATTGAACTGTATCATAATGAGGACATCACTGGTACCAATGCTCTTGCATCATTCTCTCAGGTTGGAGAAGATTCGACTTGGGTCTCTAATTTTTGCTCGGAGATATTGAAAATGATTAAGTCGTTCTAATCAACACGTCGGTCAAGATCGGTGATCCAAACATGTGTCCTATCTTTTACATTCACCAGATCAACACTATTTTGGAAATGTGCACCTTTCTCCACCATTCGAGATTCACCACTATCAACATATGGAAATGCAATGACTTGAGACTCAACGGTTCCTAGTGGCTCACCAAAATCATAACATCTTTTTCAAAAAAATCACTAAAGTCTCCAAACTCGGCGAGAAGTTAGTGGATGTCCATATCAAGTTCTCTGCTCTCATCATTCCAATCCCAATTAGAGCTGAGTTGAATATTTGCAGATCCATGAAGGGCTGAATTATTTGCAACAACAATGCTAGATTCAGATTTGGCTGCATTTTATGTAGTTGCACATGCAACTATAACTACTTGACTAAAAACATCAACCAAACTTGAGCAAATAAACTTAGAGACCATCTTCTTGCCATCATTATCAAGTTAATCATTCAGCAATAATTTGGGCTGCCTAGAGGTTAAAGATTCATATATTTCACTAATTGCAGAAGGAACCCTTCTAATTTGAATATTGTTTGTAATGAACTCCACCAGAACGTGCTGCCAAACGTCGTCGCATGAACTTTTCACTATAGGAATTTCAATGCATTTCTCCTCTTCATACACAGGCTGATCATATACAAGCATCCATGATGTTCCGACAAATCCCATCGAAACTTGAGGATCCTTGATGAAATGTGTTTTCATCTTCGTCCTCGAGATTTTTATTTTCTTGCTCCACCTCATCTTTTGCCAATTTATTCTTCGAGAACAACTTCTCTTTCTTGAAGACAGCAGATCTGTCATTGTAAATCTTCCATAAAGAGTTATTGATTGATTCTTGTAACATTTCTTCGTGCCGGCATGTTGTTTTGTTGGAAAGTTGTAGAGTAATGGAAGGAGGGCAGTGAAGTAGCAGCACAATCATGAAGAAGAAGACAAACTCTCCTCCGTGCTGGAATTTACTGGGATAATAACTTGAAGCAGCAACCACAAGAACAAAAAAGGAAACGACCTTGCACATGCAGAATTCTGAAATTCTGCAATCAGAATTCTGGAATTCACAGAAATCCATGCCTGAACAAAATGTGAAATAATCCAAAAATTTGGATTCTTGAGATGGGAGCAGCCACCGAAGGAACAGACAAGCAAGAAACAACCAAAAGAAACATCACAGAAGAAATGAGAAAGCAGAGGACACGTAAAAGCATAATCCTTTCAGCAAACCGGAAATCTAATGGCTGGAACTTTGGTGGGAGATCCTTGGAGTGAGGTTCAACAGCCCACCAAGAAGGCTAGAGGATCTTGGCTGGATCTGGGAACAAGAAGACAAAGCTCTGAAACCAAACAATACTGGCAAGGGATATGAGAGTAGAATTTCTGCAAAACGAATCTAGATTTGCTGAGAAGAATTCTGGAGGCAAAGAACAACAAAAGAAATATTTTTGATCTCAAGGAAGCACAAGAGTACATACGTCAAGACACCACCTAGGTTGCCAACTCCAGTATTCAACTACAAGGAAGATGAATGTGTCGCCCAACTTTCCAAAAATAAGAAACTCACTATTCTAAAACTGAATTCCATTTCTATACACAAAACAACCCTTACTAAGACCCCGATACCATCGAAATAGAAAAACTCATAAAAGCAAAATTAAAATAGAAAATTTTGAATTGTAACATAACGTGGAAACATTAGTACTGTCGCTCCCGCGATCAGTTGTATTTTGTGTTGTTATTATGCATTGCCCTAATCTTTCAAGTACAGTACAGTACAAAATTTTAAGGGACCTGATATCACACTTATTTCATATTATATTTAGGCCTTTTACTTGATATGTAGTTGTAGGGATGAACACTATGAACTTTAGAAACCTTTAGAGTGACATTATTACCTATTAAATATCATGCACTTTCTTAGACATGGCATTACCATATCATTTACATGTGGTCTGATATTTCCTTTTCTTAAGAATTTGTGATATGTTCCGGCCAGCTCTTGACGACCACTTACCATATCATTTACATGTGGTCACATGTTACGCAAATTGTGTCACACTAATTATGAGAAGTATGATGTTGTCATTTTACTTTTATAACTTGCTATATTATGACGTACTTTTAGTACAATTTGTCTTGTTGGTCCTGTCAAATTCTCGGCATGTGTTCTTCGAAAATTTATTTTATGTCGTGTTCTTGTAGTCATCTTTTTGTTTCTCACTTTGAGTCCATCGATCAAAGTTGGGTTAATTCGTAGAGCTCAGTTTTTATCCTCCCAAGTTAGTTGGGAGTTGATATTCACAACAAGATCGTCACAACCCGAGAAATATTTCAATATTTGTGATCTTTATCCATGCTATTCTAAGAATTTCATTAAATTTTAGATATCTGTTTTTTATATCTGTTGGGCTTTCTTATGTGTGCATTGAGAAATTAGAGATGCAATTGTTAGCAACAAACAGTCATCATCAATTTGCCTGAAACATTATAAAATTTTTGTATATTTTTGTCCATTCATCATATTTCATGTTTATTTTTTTTTTATTTTGTAATTCTTTTTTGAAATTCTTTTTTCCCCAGCAGAGGATGAGCCGCATAGGGCAAGGGGAGATTCTTTTCAAAGACATGGATAGATTTACAGTTGAAGATTCAGTTCATTTTGCACCAAAAAGAGACTTCCATGTAATGGAATATAGTTGATGAAATTTAACTTATGAGTTCGATATATGACTTAACGAGGCTGCATGAACTACAGCGAAGCAATGCCAATTAGGAACAATGCCACACCATACGAGATGGAATTAATTTGAGAACAGGAAATTGTTCTGTTGGATCTCCTCAGATTCTGAATATTTATTTCCTCACATGTATACTTAGTAACAAGGTGAGATATAATTTTCAGTATTAGCAGCATAATCATAAATTTACTGCCGCTTCTTGTTTAAGAGCATATTTGTTCTGCCAATGACTTAGTAACGGCTCTTTTAATTGTATCTTAAATCTACTTGCGATTTAGTGCCCGTTTGAGGGTGGGCATTCTGAAATTGCAGACCATATGTTTGTTTCGCGTGTATGGATGGCGGTACAAAATCGCTCGACATAAATTCTTCATTATTCGCGGCCGCGTTTCGGAGCCCGCTTTTGGTGTTTCGTTCAAGCTTATTACCCTTCAGCCCTTGATCTCGTCCTCGATCCCTTCTCCTCTCTGATCCCGGTCGCGATTTCTCCAACAATAGCTGCTAGTAAGCTGTTCTGAATAAGCTTCCCCAAATAGCAAGCCAGTTTATTCTGATAATCTGTAGATTATCATCTGTAGATTATCAGAATAAGTTGTTTATCAGTAAATTATAAATAATCAATAGCTGCCCCAAACATAACCTTACTAGGAAGGGTCTAGCTTTTGATTTCCTGAATTATGTTTTATTTATATTTTAACTTGAAATAAATATTTGATATGTTATAACATAATTCCTTATTTTTAAACAATTTAAAAAATTTAAGTGCTCTATAAATTATTTTAAAAAATGCATTAAATATGTTTCTAATATAAAAATAATAAAAATAAAGGTGATTCCAAGCTAGCCCTCAAACTGTTTTTTTTGAAATGGAAAATAGCTGTAGGTTTTAAAAAATTAAAAAAAAAACACCGGTATTGACTTTAACTATTAAAGAGTAGTTAAATTCTTTATTATGTATTGTATCATGTGCTGATGCATATAGTTTTTAGTTCATTTTTGAACGGTTAAATGATATAGATTTTAGATGTTTAACGCCACTTGATTGATGATTATGTAGGAAACTAATATATTTTTTTCTTTTTATAAATGTTTGCATTATTATGGACTTGAAATATGATGCAATTATAATGATTTGAGGGTGTCATGATCCTATCATAAACGACATTATATTTCAATATAATCATCTTTTATTTTCACTAATTCAAAGATAATAAAATCATTCTATGGAGGGCAGGCTTTTCAATAGGTCTGAGATTACATGTTAATTTCTAACAGACTAATATTTAGCTAGTGAATGTCTAATTGGGCCCCTTGATTCTTGTTGTATTATCATCATATTATCTATTAAATCATATTAGTTTAGATCATTTTCACAGATATCATTTTATTTGAATAACATGCTTACGCAGATGGTAAACAGCCTTTTTGTTATATGTATACATTTATAGGAACTTCCATCACTCTAACAAGGATATTTTTCCTAGGCTTTGACTTCACTATTTTAATCAATCCTTCCATAAGCTTTACATTTGACAAATCTAGGGATGTGAATGGGCCAACCCGCTAAATGAACAACTTGAACTTGGTTTATATTCACTCGATTAATATTCGATCATATTTGTTTAAATTAAGTAAATAAATTTATTCAACTACATTTTTTAAAAAAATTGAAGGTTTTAATAATCAGATTTGAACACAATCTAACTTTTTATTAATATTCAAGAACAAGATTTATTATTGTTCAAAACTAGTTTGTTAAGTGCTTTATGAATGCATGTATATTATTTAAATAAAATTTGATTGAGTAATTTTTTTAACTATATATTTAATAGTAATGTAGTAGACTTTAAAATCAACATGTATATCAATTTAATTCTTTTTTTTTTTTAATTTCAATAAACCAATTAATGCTTATTTATGTTATTTAGGATATGTTTGGGACAGGTACAACTTATCCAGATTATTTAGATAAGCAGCTTATTGTGATAAGTTATTGATCAGCAGCTGATCCTGATAAGCTGGTTGGTTTTTTGGATTGTGCGTTTGAGAAACAACTGATTTGTAGTTGTTTATGGATAAATGATCATTTTGCCCCTGATTTGAATAAATTATCTAGCTGTTTGATTTGTGCATTTAGAAAATAGCATATTTAAGAAATAAAATTATGTAGCATATATAACATAACTTTAAGATTTTTCGTCTTCAACAAAGAAGGGCGTCGATAGTTTGATTTTTTTAATTATGTCCTTGAAGTAATCATGATGAGATG